GAAACGGTGATGGTCAAGCCGATGGCCAACGGTGCCCAACCCTTCGTGTCGGTCCTCTTCGGGTCCGTGACCGCGTGGACAACCAGAAGGAGGAGGAACGTGATTATCGCTTCCATGAAGATGCCTTGGCTCTCGCTCACTTTTTCACCCAGCCCCGTGGCGCCTAAACCCTGACCGATCGTTTCTTTAGGGATCAATAACTGCAAATAATTGGAAAAATTTTTCTAAGAAGAAAAAAAAGAAACTTGTTATTCCGTCCAACACGACGTTGAAATCGATTAAAGAGCGATTCCAAGAGTTTTCTTTTTTTTTTTTCGTAATTACTCGTCAATTAGTAGTGTTGGCACGAAACATTATATCACGAAGAAAAAAAAAGAAAAGAAAAAGGGAGGGGGGAGAAAAAAATTAAATCAAACATGTTCTCTCTTCGGTCGTATCGTTTTTATTAGGTAATTATAGGGGCATTTCGTTCAATGGGCCAGGTTTTGGTGGTCGATCGAGTGGCAATGGTGGGGTTAATGGGCTAACACGTTGCATTATGTAATTCGATGCAACAGTGTTTCAGATGTAATCACGTTGCAACAATTATTACTTATTGCCGCCTCGTTTTAAAAAAAAAAAAAAGAGAAATTTATTCGTTATCCGAAACGATTATAGCCGAAAGTTTTTTTTTTTTTTTTTTTTAAATCAATCGAACCATATTTATTCCATTAAATCCGATCCGTTAATGGTCAATTTACCTTCCCGTCTTTTTTTTTTTTCGTCACGTCATATATTTATAAACGACGATCGATGCGCCGTTAGTATTATACACGGAACACCAAGAGCTCATCAATAAAAACTAATCGTAGAAATTAATGCGCGGCTGTGAATCGACTGTCTGGAACGAATCAGGCATAACGTATATCTGCAATTTGTTCGAGCCGTTGCCTTCTCACGTAACTAATCCCGGCATACTCGGGATAAGATAAGACCATGACCTTCCAAAACGTTTTAAGTAAACGATTAAGAAGCCTTTTTTTTTTTTTCTTTTACGATACTTATAATTGAATGAAAAAGATAAGAAGAATGGATAGAGGACATACATGTATACATATACATATATATATATATACATGTATGCGTTGTGTAGATAAATTGCAAGTAGCGGCAATAAAAATCCAATTTAGCGGAGAGCGTAGTTAAAACGGTACAATTATTGGCCGATTAACACGCTCGAGCCGCGTCTCGTGCGAGAGATATTATGTCAATAATCTTACCTTCAAAACTCCCGAACCGGCGATTGCACCACAACACTGGCAAACAATGTAGCACACCGCCTTTAGAAAGCTGCAGTTTCCGCTCACCAAAAGGCCCACCGATACAGCTGGATTCACGTGACATCCCGAGACCGGACCCAACACCTTAAAACACGAAAATAATAATAACAACAACAACAATATATATATCGTAAACCTTTTAACTTTTCTTAATCTCGCGACAAAGATCTATTAAAATTCCACGTTTCACAAATATTTTCTCGCGAAATCTCGCAAATCTCTCAAATTTACCTCGATCGTGTTCTACAGATAAACACAGACAGCACGTACCAAAAAAGATAATAACTGATACACTGGTGTCGTAAGACAAAGATCTATCAAAATTCCACGTTTCACAAATATTTTCTCGCAAATCTCTCAAATTTGCCTCGTTCTAGAAACAAAGGTAGCATGCGCGTTACGTATCAAAAAACAGATAATAACTAGTACACTGGTGTCACAAGATACTTTGTTTATCGTCCGTGTTTGTAACCGCTTTTGCGAGAAACTTCTCTAATCCTAATTTCGAATTTCGCAATTTTTGCGGAGCATGACCGGTCAGAATACGATAAAAAAAAAAAGAAAAAGAATCTCGAAAATTTATCTCGCCTCACGAAACGATTTCCTAACGATTGTAACGTGTATGTGCAATAATGGCGAAATCCGAGAGATCTTATCGTTAGATCCACGGCTACGAAATTGTTTGAACGGGCAAAATTCGAAGCCCGTGTCGTCTCTCCTCCGTGTTCCGTTTCTTACAAAAAGCGAACAACGGCCCATTTCGCTTCGAGCCCTTGAAACGCGCGCAACGTTGCGACTCTTGGATATCTTGCATGGCAACAGTCGCCCTTAATTCGCGTTGCGATACTTGGCCGGGCAATAAATGCGCGCGCGTGCGTGTGCTCTTTTGTAGGTAAGTATAAACGACGAACGAGTTTTGAGAAATATTGACGCAACGCGATTGATTTGTATTTGTCTTTTTTTTTTTTCAGAGCAAAACGTGCATACATCATTTCCTCTCCTCTCTCGCGCGTGAATTTTTTTTTATCATAAACTCAACCGGTACAAATGGTTACTATTAGTTTCGTAAATATGGGAAAAAAAAATTCTTAGACGCGTATTTGCGTATCAAATAAATATTTGGATCGAATGAGTGGGTAAATATGTGTGTTACGAGTAAATATTAAAATATGCGTGTTACGAGGATATTAATAATGGGAGAGTAAATACATCGCAGACTCTTCGGCGTCGCTCGACCCGCCGGAAATGTTTGTAATAATATCGTGGCAGAAACCAGTTGGAAGAAGTTGGGATTCCAAACAAAGAAATCGTAGAAGAAAAAAACACTCGTTGAAGAGCAGATTAAGAAAGAAAACGATTTCATCGCTCGATATTAAAATCGAAAATTTTCTGAATACATTCATCAATTTTTAATATAAACACACGATACACTTATACACACATATATATATAAACTTCTATAAAGAGTTCAACGATCTCGAACTTGCAAATCTGTGAACGAAATTTTCATATCGGTTCAAAGTAAAAGCGGACGTGTTAAGAAAAATCCACGAGTGCGATTGAATGCAAATCGTAGGAAAGGAAAAAGGACGCTATCCGAATCGGGAGGAATGAATGACGAAAATTTAGAGGAAAGAGAGGGAAGTGTAAATGGTAAAGTCTAGATGGCGAGTCGGTTTGTGGCCAGGTTGCGGCCCAGTTCTCATGCACGTCGGCAAGGTCTCGGTTGGCCCCAGGCGATCGAGATACACATGCGCCGACCAGTTACGCCGCGAGATTACGCAACTCATCTTTCCCCCCTCCCTCCTCTTTCTCCTTCTCTTCTTCTTCTTCCTTCGTGTCTTCTTCTCGACCATTCTCGTTTCTCGAGAGTGTCGCAGCCACGTTTGCCAGGATAAATTTTGGCCACGGAGCACGGAGCGAAGATCAAACGACGCGATATCGACTATATATAATTGATTTTATTAATTACAAGATGGAGCACAGGTGACTCTCTCGAAACACTGGAGAGGCAATTATCGGTTTACGAGGAAGGGTTTCTCGCTTTAAAAGGTTTTGCGTTCCGACGCGCGCTTTTGCGAAAATTAATTCTCGAATTTATCTCTTTCTTTCTTTCTTTCTTTTTTTTTCTCCTCCCGGGGGAAAAAAAGAGGAGGCCTTGTGCCGAATGAAGAAAATCCTATCTCCTCCCTTCTCTCTTCATTTTAATTAATACCACCGCTATTCGGCGAACGCAACCGATATTACACGCACGCGTGAACCCACAAAGGGGAAAGTCAAGTTGCTTCAACTTTTCATCCAAGTACCGTCCGGCTCCGGCTCCTCGTCCTTCGTCCGCGCAACACTTCTTCCAAGAACGAGCGATAAACGAGCGATTCGTCGTGCACTTTTATTCGGCAGCCTCGATCAAATTTTTCGTATTTCCCCTTCCCCCTTTTACTGTATTTGCTTACGCTCACCGCGTAATCTTGAATTATTAATCAAGAGCGTGTCTAGATATCTGGTGATGGGACAACTGTGATGGTGGAGGATTTGCGAGACGGTGGCGAAACGAACGGCTGTGGGCACACGAGACTAAAAATCGTAAACTTTGAGGATTCGTGGAACGAGGTCGACGAGCTCTTTCTTCCATCCGTGAATCATGTTTTTTCTTTCCTTCTCTCTCTCTCTTTTTCTTTCCTTTTTTCTTTTTCACAGCGAACAACGCGTAATTTAATTCATTCAAGGATTCGAGACGAGATTTAAAACGTTTCTCTCGGATTAGAATCTCTAGGATCAGGGCTCCCTCGGGGGCTCCCCGTGACCCACAGCCCCGGGATACCCTCGTCTATGTGGTTCTATTCACATCCGCTCTCGTTCTCTCGAACGAATCACGTAAAGATCCATCGTGCCGGGTTCAACCAAAAACTCGATCAATCGATCAATTTCTACGTGTCTCTGTAACGAAGTGATATTAATTCGAGAAACTGATTTCTTTTCACAGATATATTTTCCAATAATTTGTTCTCTCATCCTTTTCAATTAAATACATCGATATATTAATATAACAATCAATGATAATTAAATCGAATCTTGGATTATATTTGCGAACAATTAATTCGAATTTCAGTAAAATAAAAACAGAATATAAATCGTAATCTTCTTGCATAAATAATTTAAATAATTATTTATTGAAAACGGTCGAATAACATTTATAATTATTATAGTTTATCCGATCTTCGTATAGTCTCGTTTTGACGATGCAGTTATTGTGTTCTCGAACAATAAATTATCGAAATAACTTTACTCGTAATTTCAACTATTGAATTTTGCCCATCACTGGTTGTAAGGGACA